TATAATTATTATTATTATTATTATTATTATTGTTGTCGTTCTTTCTTTCACGCTTTTTACTTCTATGACAATTTAGCCTCATTTTTACCGTATTTAATCGTTGTACACTTTCATGTTTATACTTGGTTTATTTTTTTGTGCTTTTACTTTATAACAAATTGTTTAGCCTCATTTTGTCTGTATTTTAATGTTTTAATTATTTAAATGTTTACTTTTATATTACAGTATGTTCCCAATCTTTTTATTATTGAATTTGTGTTATACTGTTATTGCTATGACAATTTAGCCTCACTTTTACTGTATTTTACCATGTAATCTTTCATGTTTTCTAATAAACTGAAAAAACACATAATCTCAAATTATTAAATTTTTATTTGGTTGAAAATTCGTCATGCTGTTACGTATTGAGCTGCTTTCAGTCCTTTTTTTTTTTTTTTTTTTCAGGCCTGCCCAACACAAGATGTTTTCTTGCAAACATCTTCTTGGGTCCTGGCCTTCTTCCAAATTTTTGTATTCTTTGTATTTGCAATTATGTATTTTCTTGTGCCTCTGGAAGAACATAAATGTTTGCTTTTTTGACTTGTTGCCATTTTTGGTTTATTGCCGATTTGACCAGAAAGCTACAAGATACGAGCATATCTTATACCCCATTCAGACTAGCTTCGCATTGTGATCGGTTGTAGCAATTGTGACACCCTATCGCACCCAATCGCAAAGTAAAATCGTGTCTGATAGCTCACCAATAGTAGTCGATAAGTAATCGATTTCGCAATTGTTACCCGTTGCGATTGGGTGCTACAATCTTTATTACTCCCGATTACCATGGAATCCGATCGCAACAGATTCCACAGGCACTGATTGGCTGAGGTCAAACAAAACAGGATGACCTATATCGTTGCTAGTGATGTAAAGTATCAAAGTAAAAAGGTGCCTGAATGCTGTCGAAGTTTGTGAATGGTTGCGAACAATTTGGATTACAATTGTTTACCACCGATTACATCGCAACCGGTCACAATGCAAAGTCTAGTCTGAATAGGAGTTAAGTTTCTTCTCACTGGTAACTGATGATAAGCCTATTTATTTGTAAAAGTAAGGTTAGGCTAGTGTATACTTTAATAACAATACCAAAGCACACTTAATTCCTTATTTTCTGGATGTCAAATAAATCGTGGCCGAACTGGTTCGAAACGGATGGCATTCCATTCATTTTGGCGTTCGACGCGGCGCGGCCGAGAATGCTTGCGGCCGAAGTAAGCCTTCCCTTGTTATCGGCCTACCGCCTTCGTCCTACAAACCGTACATACAATTACTAGGCCTTTGGCTTACCTAGGCCCCTACATTCCTTTCCGTTGCCTGCTATACTTAAAAAAAAGGCACCGCCCGTACCGTACCTACACACACGGAAAACCCTCCTCCTCTGTCGCCAAAGCAAAATACAAAGCAAATTGAAATAACATTTGTGTAAACATTACTGCACAGTTTTAGGCATGAATTACTATGATTTAATAAATAAAATGACACTGAAATTAGTGTATCTTGTAGGTCTAGGCCTATACATATTAAATAGAATTAATTTCTCAAACCTGTATATGATTCTGCCGTCGACATGATGATAGCAGTAAAGCTTCTTTTGCATGTTTGAACCCAGGTTGAACTTTGATCTAATGACGCCAGTTCCTGCGTGCACATGGCCTGCCATCCCTGGGAACAAGGATTTCTTGTAGACAAATGCCGAAGGTTTACAATTTCTATGCATCAGCATTCCAAATGATCAAGGAAAATCAAACAGATCTAATGGAATTAATATCAGATAGCATACAAATTAATATAGTAAAATGTAAGCATGCTGCCATCCTATTATGCAAACTACTAAAACAACAACGTCCCCGACCAATCTAAAGAGGGCGCTGTTTGAATCTAAGGACGCTTTTTTTCAATCATAAAATGTTTACAAAAACCAGTTGATTTTCTTGGCGTCTAGACATAGATAGATCCAAAGGCTTATGTGTCTTGAGCTAGGATTTGAACTTAATTCTACATATTTTAGCATTTTAGTCCAGAAATTTAAATAACTGATGAACACAAAATACGATATTTTTGGCGGAATTTGAAGCGATTGGTAGTATATCTTTACTATCTAACTAATTAGTAAAGCCTAGCCTAGCTAGGCTAGGCTGGGGCTACCTTTCTTGCATGCTTGTTGACTGCTGTTGGGTTCTTTCTATTTGACGGGGCACACAGGAGAATGTGGTGATCGGTGAAATTGCAAGTTGCAATCACACTCGAGGAGGCTCCTAATATACCCCTTTCGGTGTTTATATTTTCCTGGGCGGAGACGCTGGCGGCACACTGCACTGGCACTGGTAGGTAGAAAATTCGCCCAGGATAGGACAAATGAATGGCCTAGGCCTACCTATACTAGGTAGGTAGGGAAAAAATGTGTCAAAACTGAATTTGAAGTCTTTACAACCTCTTCTTGAAATGGCTAGCTAGGTAGGCCTTAGTTATCACATACACAATCAATCAGTCACAAATCAATTTATTCAAGCCTACATAATATTATGATAATATTATAATAATGTTATATTATTATATAATAATAATTATTATATAATAATGTGGTCAGAAATTTGTTTAAACTAGGGCCTAGTCCTAGGCTTAGTCCGATGAGAGACTTACCAGAAATTGAAACGATATTTGAAATTTTAGTTTTTTAGTAAAGTTCAATATAATTATATACATCCTGGCTAAAGATATTAGTAAATATAAAGCTTTTCTCTTTTTGAAAAGAATTTTAAAAAGCATAATCTAATTTTCACTTAATTTAATGAACAAACAACTTTTTCTCATTTTTGTTTGTTTAAATTTATTTTTAAAAAAAAACAAATGGAGTTCAACCTGGAGTAATGTATAGATAAACACACAACTATACATATAATTTATGTAAATCAAATATAAAATAACAACTTGTATGCATGGCAAACAAACGCTCAGGCTCCAACATATTCCACCACTACCATAACATGAATCATAATTTTAAAATCGACTGAATCTATTTTTATAAAAAGATGGTTTAAAATTAAACAAAGACAATTGGAATATGCACTCAAATTTGCATTAATTAAAATTTTTATTTATTATAATGTATATAATAATTATAATAATTAATATAATAATTATGTAAATGTCTCAATGTATTTTTTTTAATTAATTTATTCTGCAATTTTAATGTAATTTTTTTTTTTAAAATGTTAGGCCTATACATAATTTTATTGTCCTGATTGTGCAGTAGTTTCGTATTTTGATTTGTAATTTTTCTTAGTTCTTTGGTTAGTTAAGACTTTTTGATGTTTGGTGTTAACCATTCGCAATTCAGCCTCTTGGCTGCCATGGTTTATGTTTTTTTTTTATTATGATTGAATAAATACCATTATATATATTTCAGTTTGCTCCTACAGTATATTGCCCTATGGGGTTATCCCAAAACTGACTGCATACCCTTCAATTTATTCTAGTGTCAATTGTAAGAGATAGCAGCTAATTGCTACTGTTGAAAATAAATGATAGAGATACTGTACAGTAGAAATATATTCCAGCTTCTGATTGTCACTGATAAAAAGTTACAATACAAAGTTATTCCTTTTATTTTGATTTTATTCCAGAGTGTGATTCCCAATATAGTGAAAATGAAGAGTCAACAAGTGTTTGAAATATTAAAGAAGGCCCAGAATCCTGATGAGGAAGTAACGGCTCTTGATTTGATAATTAACCATTTATCTTGCAATCAAGAATGTGACATCACAATTCAGGATTTAGAGCTGCAGTGGTTAGCTCACGCTGGAGAAGATATAGATGATAACCCTTTCCCAGCAATTACGCCCGAGACCTTCCTGCCAGTACAGGAGGACCTGAATCAGTTCACAAGCTACGTGTTTGAACGTCGGTTTGGATGGTCTGAGGCTAGAAATGATGAGAGGATTCCAGATTTGCCATTACATGCTTCAAGTTCCAGACAGACTGGAGCAAAGAGCATGACAGAAAGAATTGCAAAGGGAAAACTCAATGAATTTTTAGATGATTTTATTAAATGGTAAGAATAACACTTGGTCTCCAATAAGTATCCTTTAGTATTTTGGGTGAAATTTTATTATCTAATAGCAGCATGTATACTGATATTATGATTATTTAAAGATCTTATCACCAATTATCATTTTTGATGGAATGTACCTTTAGCTTGGTGGCTGAGATGTTTGCCTTTCAATCTAAGACTCTGGAATTCTATATCTACAGGATTTTTTTCTTATAATTAAAACAACTTGACTCACTAAGCCTCATTGGTTGCACCAGCTGGGGGACAGCAGGGGCTTAAGCTTCCCCCCCCCCCATCAGAAAAGTCAAGTCCCCCAACTGGCCAGAGCTCGTTGGCCAGTTGGGCCAAAAAAAAAAAAAATAGGCCTAATGAAATGAGTGTGAGTTGAGTTTGAGAGTATAGTAACAATTGTATTTTATACATTTTACATTTAAAAGTATTTTGTATTTTTCAAGTCAGAGAGTGCCTGGTCCGGCCATGCAGCGGTCCCTATTTAAAAAAAAAAGATCTCATTAAGCTGCATTTATTTAAGCTTAAGGGAGGGAGAACATTTTCCCCCTCCCAAACCCTCCTCTCAGTTTGGTCAGAAAGCCCTTGGATGGCAATGGCTTAAGCTCCCCCCCCCCATCAGAAAAGTCAAGTCCCCCAACTGGCCAGAGCTCGTTGGCCAGTTGGGCCAAAAAATAAAAAATAGGCCTAATGAAATGAGTGTGAGTTGAGTTTGAGAGTATAGTAACAATTGTATTTTATAAATTTTACATTTAAAAGTATTTTTCAAGTCAGAGAGTGCCTGGTCCGGCCATGCAGCGGTCCCTATTTAAAAAAAAAAAGATCTCATTAAGCTGCATTTATTTAAGCTTAAGGGAGGGAGAACATTTTCCCCCTCCCAAACCCTCCTCTCAGTTTGGTCAGAAAGCCCTTGGATGGCAATGCGTGCCAAAGCCCCCCCCCATCAGAAAAGTCAAGTCCCCCAACTGGCCAGAGCTCGTTGGCCAGTTGGGCCAAAAAATAAAAAATAGGCCTAATGAAATGAGTGTGAGTTTCATTGGCCATCCTTGGTGTTTACACCGAATAAATCCAATCCAATCCGAAATTTGCAAAACAATGTTGTGCCAAATTGCGAAAATATTAGTGTAGAGAATGAAATAAATGCTACCTCAGACAGAGTTGTTTCTTGATTTTGGAGTTGGTCATAAAATTATAAAATGTTATTCAGTTTTTTTCCTGCTTGAATAAGTACCAAAATTGCACTATAAAATATTTACTGTATAACCAGTTATTTGCATCTCTTCTGCAGGTATATGTCACAGCAGCTATCCTCTGAAATACTCAAAAGTTTTGTATATACAGTGTCACAATGTAAGTTTAAAGCTCTGCACACACCATTAAGTTTTATGTGACAATACCTGTGACATTCCTGATTATGACATCATCCTGTCCATAATTGAGCAGATCACAATATTTGTCACAGAAAATGTACCTAAATTTGCAATTTTTAATATTTTCCTGAATTTTTATAATATTTTCCCTACTACGCAATTTTTATAAATTTTTATATATTTGTCTTCTTTCCTTGTTTGTCTTGTTTTCTCTTTCCTTTCCTTTTCTGTCTTCTTTTGTAATCTGTTTGTGCTCTGTCCCCTCCCTTGTTGTTTATTTTAAGAATGTGATCCTAGGGAGTTTTCTTTATGTTTTCATTTAACCATTTTTGTAATCTGTTCTAATTTTTGTTTTTAATAAAAGTGATTTTATATATAGTAGTGGGAACATGGTATACAATTTTCTTAGTGTCAGATAAAAGTAGGGGAGGATGTGAAGTGATAAGCAAAAAATACAGTATAGTATACTTATTAATATTGTATGTTAAAATACAGTATAGTATACTTATTAATATTGTATGTTAAAATACAGTATAGTATACTTATTAATATTGTATGTTAAAATACAGTATAGTATACATGGGGTTAGTTTCTGGGATTCCATGGGGTTAGTTTTTGGGGTCCCATGGGGTTAATTTCTGGAGTTCAATGGGGTTAGTTTCTGGTATCTCATGGGGTTAGTTTCTAGGTCTCATGGGGTTATGGTGTTAGTTTCTAGGGTCTCATAGGGTTAGTTTCTGGGGTCTCATGGGATTAGTTTCTGGGGTCTCATGGACCATGGTATTAGTTTCTGGGGTCCCATAGGGTTAGTTTCTGGGGTCTCATGGGGTTAGTTTCTGGGGTTTCATGGGGTTAGTTTCTGGGGTCTCATGGGGTTAGTTTCTGGGGTTTCATAGGGTTAGTTTCTAAGGTCTATAGGGTTAGTTTTTAGGATCTCATGGCCCATGGAGTTAGTTTCTGGGATCCCATGGGGTTAAGTTTCTAGGATAGTTTTGACTGCTTACAGGAGGTACTCATCGGAGTCTGCCATTGCTTGCAGTAGCCTGGGGACACTGATAATGTAATATTTTTTCATTTATATCTTTGTAGCAAATAACAAACCAGTGGTACGCAACCAGACTGTCATGCATGTAATGGAATGGTTTAAGTTGCGAGCCGATACTCCACAGCTTCATGTCAACTTTGACCTCATTCGCCACTTGATCCTTCTTGGCATCAAGGACATCTGGTCTGCTATCAGAAATGTCTGCGTTTCACGAATATCAACCGTTGTCGAGCGATTCCAGATTTCCGAGTTGCAGGTGTTCTTCAGGGACTTGACTCAGGTCAGTTGTTCAGTACACTGTTGCACTAAGCCCTGCTCCTTGGATATTTTTGCTAAGGTCCTACAAAATGACAGACATTCAACATCACCGAGTGTGTGCTCATCAACACGAACTTCTGTGTTTGTGGAACATGCAACTATTCCTGGTCCTGCCTATTAAAAAGCATTCTGATTATTTGTAGGAATTAATAATAATTATTGATATTATTATTCATTCTTTCAAATTTTATTTAGAAATTTCTATATCAATATACATAATACCAAAATAGAATAAATATACCAATAGAAAAAATGTTGTGGACAGACGACAGATAGCTTGTTTACCGGTTAGCTCAGACACGAAGAGACTCTTAGGGGAGAAGAAAGTTACTGTGCGAGCTAGTCCACACCTCGAGCGCTATATAAATCCTACCCACATTACATCCAACCACCAACCAGAAAATGTGGTACAACTTAAACTTCCCTTTACAGTCGAAAAGGGAAATGCTAACACATTTTGCTTCATTCAAAGATCGTGTTATCATGAATAGCAACTTAGAAATAAAAATAAAAGAAAGTAAAATTAAAGATATTCATTAACAATATAACTGTTTTTTTAATCTTTATGTACTTTATTTTTTCTATTTATTTCAGATTTGTGAAAGTCCTGAAAGTACATGGCAAAACATAGAGGGCGCTCTAATGGCAATAAATTCTACCTTGAAACGTTTTCATTGGATGGGCAGTATACCATCCGAACAACCACTTCATAAGTCGCCCATTAGTTCAAGTACATATCTAAAGGTATATTTTGTATTTACGGTAATCATTATTGAATACTTTTCTTTTACTAATAAGGGTGTTTGTCGTCATATTTTATAATAAAATTTGTTCAATTTTTCCCCCCTCTTTTATCTTCTCAACTGCAAAAAAAGTCATTCTCATTTCTATTTTGAACTGGCATTCTCGGATGTTCTGCGAGCGATAGACGACGCGAAGCCGTCTGCTGATCTGATCATCATTAATAACGATCCGTTGCACGAACGTCATCGTGTTGCGTTCTTTATAGAATCGCGTCAGCCGGCGGCCGTCGTGCGCAGTGAGTTCCCAGCTTTAGCCCGCCATCATCCATATTCTTAAGCTCTGTTCACACTAGTTTTGACAGCTTCTTATGCTTTGCCCAATTGTTGTGCCGAGTATGATATGACATCTTCGTGCCCATCTATAGGCAAGCTACAAATATTTGTCATAGAAAACTTGATATTCTGAACAATGTAGGCTTCTCCAACCTTCCATGCTCTTGGTTCCTGGCAAGATGTTTTCATCTGCAGGAACCAAGAGCATGCAAGAGCAGTCATCTGCAGGAACCAAGAGCATGCAAGAGCAACATTTTTCTGATGCAGTCTCTTATAGCTTCACCATCTGTCCACACTGTAAGTTTTATATGACAAGTACTTGTGATTTGCCCATATATGGTATGGGTAATGTGGTGATATCCTGCCTGTATATGGGCAAATCTCAGATATTTGTCACAGATTTAGTGTGGACAAAACACTAGGTTGTTTTTCTATTCCCAAGGACGTAAAATGATATTCAATCTCAAACCTAATTGATTCACAATGCGTTGTTGCATTGTAGTCTCATTGCATAGCATTAACTACCCATCCCTGCTATCTCATCTTGATTTCTACTGTAACATTTCGCATGTCTGTCTTTTAATTCTCAAAATGTAATTTTATTCTGCTCCATTTTGTAACATCAATCATTCTTCACAATGTTTTAAATAAGTGTATTGATAAATTGTATTTTCAGTTTGGACGTTCCCAGTTAAAGCAACTACCTGATTTCATCACAGGCAAAATGCATTCCATAATTTATCCAATGCTGGCGCACCCACAGCTAAGTGTTCGAGAGCAAGCTACCAAGGCTTTTTCAACGTATTTATATAGGTGTGAATTTAAGGTAAGTCATCACAGCTTGTTAGTGCTGACTTTTTAAATGCTTTCAAATTTTTAACATGACTTTTTATCGATGAGTCCAGTGGCCGAGCGATTAAGGCAGGTGCGCCGCAACCTGCAGTCATAACATTGGTGGTAGTTCGAGCGGCACACTCACTTGCGGCTCTGGTGGTGGAGCAAGTCTTCTTGGAAGGACTATAAACCGTAGGCCCAGGGTACACAATTGGCTCATGTGCACCCAGTACATCTTTCGAGTTACCCCGGTATTCTGGTCCATACAGCCCCAGTTACCCTGCGGTTATGTATCATGAGGTTCCATGTGTCTACCTAAATATGCACATGTAGGGAGGTAGTAAAACATTTTTTAATGTGTACTGAGTGGAATTGAGCAATGAAATGTTCTTATTACTCAGTTATGAATTATGAGGTATAATGACACTATAGGCATAGTAATATATGTTATATATTTAATATAGTACTATAGGTATAGTAATACTATAGTAATATATTTTATTGCCTTGCCAATAGGAAGCCCTGCAGTCTTTCAAGGAAGCATTAGCACACTTATGTGATGGTACAGGAATCACGATAGCATTTGATGAAGAAGATAATTATGTGCTAAGCCAGGGCCTACCTCACCATGCTGTACTGTGCAAGGACTACCAATTCTTGGATGCTTACAGGGCAGAAGGCCTTCTTGGAGTCTGTATTTATCTTATCAAGGTATGTATACATAAATTGAGGCTATGATAATTGGGTTCTGCAAAGAATCACACCAAGTGTATGTGACATACATCATTAAAATTATCATCATCCATTGTTATCTCTCTTATAATTGTCATGATCATGATGATCATCATTATTATCTTTTATTATCTGTCTTATATTCTGGTCATAATCATTGTGGTGATCATTATCATCATCATTTATCATATATCTTATAATTGTTGGCATCACCATCATTATCATTATCGGCACAATCATTCTTTTTAATCACACAACCTTCATCTGCTTTTACTGTTCGTGTGTGTGTGTCCCTTTCTACCAAATGCTCCCACTTTAGGAAATCTTTTGTTCTAAATTCGCCCGTAAGTTTAACAGTAACGTAAAATGAATACAGTAATGTGTTCAGTTGAGTTTTGTGTATTATTTTATGAATATTATGCAATTATAAAATTTTGATTTATTGTTTCTTTGTTTTTAGCACATTCCACCTGGCTACCTTCTACCCAGTTGGCCATTATATTTCTCAACATTTAATTTGTACTTAATGCACCCAGCATCAACAGTCAGGCAGGCAGCCAGTGCAGTCTTTAAGTACCTAGGTAAGCTAAGTGGTCTGTAACTTGTAAAGCCTTATTGACAGATGCCAGGGATGCTTGAGAGGCAGTGTATGGAAATGCTGCTATGACTATTACTAATAGCAGGCTTAGGTCATAACATACAGACATTTTTTTGTTGAGACAGTAATGAAAATCAAAGTTAAAAATTGCACATTTAAATATGAACTTTTTTTAAATTCATAAAAAAACTAAAACAAATTATAAAGATACAAGAAGAATAATTTGTGTCAGGTTTTTTGGTAATGAAATGCAGTTGGATTTAATTGTATTAATAATAATAATAATAATAATAATAATAATTGAGAGCTCACCGGAACAGAACTCACATGAGTTTGAGTGAAAATGGCGTCTGACTATCCTATTCTACCAAAAATAAAATATATATTATATATATACATTATTCTTCAGTAGAAAGTAAAGCATTCTTAATTGTTATTTTAGTTGCCAAGGACAATAACAATCCCAGCCTTCTAAAGCTGGTCTTACAAGGTCTATGTGCTGGCTGGCCAATTGATCTTCACCAGCTTACAGATCTTGTACATCCTAGCCTACATATCACCAGCAGGACTCTTCCATTAAATGAGAAGGGAGAAAATGGCTCCGGTGATCAGAACATCAATGATGAGGGAAGTGCAGGGAACCATAGCAAAAAACCTCTTAGCAGGCAAAGCAGTTCACCATGTAAATCAAGGATGATCAACATTAGTACCGTCTGTAATATGGAATTAGGTGAGTGGAATAAGCCAACTTATGAGGGCAGTAGATTAATGTTTTTACTTAGGGATTCATACCAAAAAGACTTCAGTGCTACACATTATTACCTCAGTTATTGTTTCAAACACATGTACTCAGTTCCCTGGGTGGAATTCCTTTTTTGATCACCTCATTTTGTGTACAGACCTACCTGGTTCCTACTTGTACTCTTGGGTGTATGCAAAGTGCCTTGCCCAAGAACAAGCAAAATGGACAGCGAGGGATGGAGCCCCGACATCAATGTTGAGAAGCTGAACTACAACTGCTGCACCAATACCTAATGACTTGTCAATATTTTTCCTACATTGTTTACACCTTGCAGAACCTGGCTGTTTACCTGATTCTCTGCTATCAAGATCATGGGAATGGAGGGAAGGGCGGCTGTTTGCTTACGAACTCATCATAAAGTTTCTCATCATCAACCACATTCACTACCTATTTCCATCTTATGCTCTACCACCCTCAAAGTTTGATGGAACAGCATCTACGGATGATGCTATGACTCCCAGGTAGGTGTACATTGATACATTGTTTTAACATTTGCATAATAATGAAGTGGAGCCATATCTTGGTGGTTAAAGGTGGGCACACACTGAGACAGACAACAGTAATTGACATGATCCCAGTGGCAGATTCAGAGGGGGCCCAATCATCTCGGGCCCCCTAAATTGTTAAATTTTTTTTTTTTTAATGGAGATAAAGAAAAATTGTAAGTCTGAGAATGCAATTTCTGGCCATCTAGAGGTGCCATAATCACAAATTGTTTTACCTTAGCCCCAAACATGGTGGGGTTCAGGTGGTATGGTTCCTCCATCTGTGAAAGTACCTCCCCGGGCCTCCTCTATTTTGAATTCCTGGATCCACCACTGGATCCAATGAAGACTGTCTGGTTTGGAAAGCCACCGGCAATCTGCAGATGGAGTCTAGTGTCGCCTTGCGTTCACACACAATTAAGATAGACTTACTGACTGACTGTCAGCCGTCCGTTGATCAAACCCGGAGTGTGTGTTCTGCTTTAAAATCTCCAAGGAAAAAATTTAAATTATGTATTTTCTATAGAGAAATATTAAGCAGGATATTGTGTGTGTTTTTTTGTTTTTCTAGTCATCAATCCTCACTTGCCCAGGGCAACCAGATTAAAGTGAAAAAAAGCTATAGTCACGGTGGTGCCTCACTACAACAGATCTGGAAAGAACATGGCATTAATAAGGCAAGACATGCTGTGGTAAGTTGCTTTCCAAAACACATTTATAAACCACTTTTTAATTAATCAGCATAGTTAAGGAATTGGGTTTGAACTCCACCTTCATCGTGATAAATTGGCATTTTAGTATTGATAGTGCTGTTTATAATCTTTTGTGTAAGACAAGGCTTAAAATAGCAAATTACGATTAAAAAGAGGGATTTTTTAAAAATCTTTAATTCATCTACGTACTGTGCATAGATCGTCTATAACATGCAAAGTTACTATTGAAATGAAACTACTATGTGTTAGAATGGATGAACTCGATTTTAAATGTGGGAAAATAGAATTTTGATGAACATTTAAAAGCCCATTGAATGGTATTATTTGGAAGAGTAGCCCTACATTTGGCTACATTTTTAGTCAGCTAGATGCTGTATCAAGACCATAAGGAGCAGCAGCAAAAAGTAGGAATTTCGAGAGTGGGGGGGGGGGCGGGGGGTGGCGGTTGTCTTATATGCCCGACATACAAAAATCTTCTCACACTCAGGGATCGCCTTATAGGTAGCCCTTTATGCGCAAGAGTACACAGTTTCATTGTTTTAGTTTATTATTTTAGACCTGTAAAATATTATTGATGTTTGAAAAGGTTGATGATATAAATAATATGTTTTGACAGAGTGAGGACATTTCCCCTGAATCTGTAATACCAGTTGAGGGCGCAATTGGAATGATGTCAAAAAGTTCTCCTGAGAAGAGTACTATTGATGTAGATAGTATGGTAGGTTTAAATTATTTATGGCAATTTTTTATCTTAGGCCTATATGTAAATGCTTGCTTAACCTTTAAAGTTCAGCAACTTAGTTTTAAAAACTTCTTGCCTAAAACCCAGAAGAAAAATTATTTTGCATTTAATGTTTCACTCTTTACAGGTGTTTACAAAGACTGACAGTGATCATAAGAAGAGATCACTGACTGAAAAAAGGTAAAATATTGACAATTTACATTGTTTTTGATATAAAAAAAAAACAAGAAGTTGATAGTTTAAACAATATATTGAAATTTATTATATCAAGTAAAATATAAAGTAATGAATAAATATATAAAACTACAAAATACATCCTACCTCTAAATGTTGAAAATGTAGCTAGAAGCAGAATATGCTGGGAAACCATCATCATTATACAGTAATTCATGATGCTCGTGTAATGCCATCTGGAATTTTCCAGCATAAAATCTATGAACTAAATAAAACTACTGCCTTACAATGCTTTATTTATGTTTAAATTAAATAAAAAATAATTCAGACGTATATCTTGATTGGCTCACATTTAAAGATGTCCCATAAAAAATACTCCCCAAAAAATTATAAAAATCATTGTTGAAATCAACTTTCTCATTTTGAAGTAACATATAAAAGCCATCAACTTGAACATAGAAATTAGTGTAATTAAACAATGTTTACCCATACTTTAAAAGCAACAAATGATAGAAAAACACTTCCATTCACTGGTGTGGTTTTATTATTTTACCATTATCCAGTATAAAAATCATGGTACACATTTTTTTAATTCAAGAAATATGATGATAATGAGGTTATGTAAAAACAAATTTTGTGTATGTTTGTCTTGTGAAAAGATTGCCACTAAGAAAGTGATTAACATCACTGCTGTCATATCCTTGCCTTTTTTTTGTTTTGTCTAAACAAATTAATAAATGAAAAATATAAATATTAATTTCTTGCTTTATCCATTAAACATTTATTTTTTACTGCACCCTATAGTGAATGAACAGAGGAATGATGATACATTATTTATTTAACTTATTTCTCTCATGTTTATTTAGCTTACATTTTAATTGTGTTCATGAACTTAATGTTAATTGTTTTTTTCTATTTGTTATATGGGGCCTGACTTTCTCAAACCATACAGTGTGTTCACATCAACCATGTGCACGCTGAGCATGAGACAATTCCAAGCTTATGTGTGAAGCCTGTAATGTGTGAGCGTAGCATAATGTGATGAATAATATCCTCTCCTTTGTTATGCTCATGTTGTGATATAGAGCCAAACTGAAGCCGTTAATGTCCTTTCCATGTGTTTTTGACATGCATGCGTATAGGAAGATGTTGCAGAGGTGTGTATTTCTCTTCAACAGAAACGTGATCATTATAATAATACATATCGTCGTATTCATCATCTATCTGTGTCCGTCGTCCTAATATATTAGTGTGTATATGTTTCTGCTTAAACTACTCAATTGTCAAGTTCATGCTGTGTTCATTCAAGCTGTTTTAGAGTAAATGATAATTTTCAAAAGTAGTGTTCTATATAGAGCTGAAAATTCATACTCTTTACACCCATTACTCTTATATGACTGTTACCCAATCCACATAAGACAAAATATAATACACAGCCCATGCTGGAGAAAATTTAGCAAGCATGCCCGCTGATTTGCTTTTTAAGTGAAAGTGCATTTGTTTTGTATGAGATTAACACCTGGCGACACCTCCCATACATGGGTTGTTCACAGCTTGGGGTCGAAATACTCCTATCCTATCCTTTTAGCAAGATTGGAATTTACTTATATGAAGAAGGAATTGATTTCAGTAGGAATATTTTGGGAAGTCCCCGTAACAGTTACCATGCACCCCATAATAGATTTTGTCTCATGTGAATTAGGTATTAGTTTGTTTTAAACTCTATCAAGAGCTCATATTTCAACAGTTTATTTTTAGTACAGTGTTAAATACTCATGATGTTAACTTCCTCATCATTATATCATAGTCATGGTGAATATTTATGCAATTCATAATTAATAATTCAGCACTTTTCATCCCTAGGTAGAATACACTATTAGTTAATATATGTTGGTACTTTTATTACTAATTATTTTATCATAATTTATTAATATTATTTTTTAATTAATAATGTGTCATTAATACTATGAATTATTATTGTTTGTTATTATTATTATTATTATTTATAAATACTTATTAATTAATTATTATTATTATTATCAATTAATTAATTTGATGTACCACACCCTACTTAAGCTTTAATTTTAACTATGCTTTATAATTTAGTTTTAGTATATCATCCACTATTTAAGGTAAATGTTCTAACATCGAATTCAAAATGTTGTTTCAGTGAAATGTCAGTTTATATGGTAGTAATGGTACTAGGTGACAATAAACAGTGTGTATCTTCCTGTTTTAACACTTTTAAAGCCCTACCCTATCCCGACTATCAATTAATTTTTTAAATGGGCAAAAACATGTGACATGCCTAAATATGGTCGTGATGACATCATATCATGACCATATATAGGCACATCATGACTATATATGGGCATACAACATTTGATAGCGTGGACAGAGCTTAACCAGGGCTGTAAAAAGTTGGTAGTCCTGGGTCCGGGACTGGAGTATTTTAGGACTGGGCTAGCAGAAAATACATTAAAACTAGATCACTAGTCAATAGCTGATATATAAGCGCTAGCAGTTATTTTAGCAAAACTAGACCTTGGTCCAGCAAAACAAACTAACTTTTTACAGTCCTGCTTAACTCCACTTTCTTGATTGTCAATCAAACTTTACCTTGAACATCCCACGAGCACAATCAGTGGCGGATCAAGAAATTTAAAATAGAGGACGCATGAGAAGGGAATTTTAGAGATGAAGAGTCCAGAGTACCTCAGCCCCGCTTCCAGAAGATGTGTTAGTTTACACATGAGTAATCAGCTCCACAAATAATTGTTTGCAAAGCTGTTGAAAGCTCACTGAAAGCATTTTCAACATCATCACAAACAGCCACTGTGCAGTTTATTTTAGTGAAGTTTTTGAGCTCTCTTGTTCTACTTAGTCAATGACTGAAGAAAAATGTGCACTCCATGAGGATTGGACTACTTGTGGATAAAAATGTTAAAAATCCTCAGCAAATTTAACTGTACACCTGAGTAAGCAGCCTTGCAAATGATTATGCTTAGCTGTTTGTGAAACCTTTTTCTCTTACCAATGGGGTTTGTTTTATTTTTAGAGCTCAGACGTTAGCTGATGGTAGGTCATTCAAACCAACAGACATCCAGAAATTCTCAAGTCCCACTCGTCAATGCAATGCACCAGCCTCTCTGCTCTCACAAACTCTAGCTCTTGATAAAGATATTGCCGCCACAGTAAGTACTCACAGAAGACTGCCTCCCTCTTTTATACATCCTATTATGCTACTGTATTGATACAACATATATTATTTTGCTTTGCGAAAACTAATGCAGATTTTATGAGTGAGATATTGTTGATCTATGGACCAAACCTGCATTGACCATTTCGGCAGGTAATGCCTGCCATATTTATAACTGCGAATTGCAATGCTTGCTAGATGTTCTCTTCAGCAGTCAAACGGTCAGTATGCCAGTTTTCTTTTTTGAAACTTACCTAGAAAGTAATGGGAACACCTGACCAAGGTGGCACTTCTGATAATACTGTTATCTTAATATCTTGATAGTCTGATGAGTCAAAGCCATCATTTGAAGCATGGTCTGTGAAGGACCCGATCAGTAACCTGACGGATTTGGTAGCCAATGTCGATATTCCCGATGATGTCATTTTGCTCAAGTCCTGCTTTACAATGGTGTAAGTTTAAATTTTCTACACAATTTCCCAATTATCTGAAAGACTATATTATAAAATTTGCTTCTTAGGTAAGAAGTTTTTATGTGTGACATTATAACATTTTTCTGCTTTTCTTCAACTATCTATTTCTGGAATGTTTTTTTGAAAATTCACCCCCTCAATTGATGGAACAGTCCAGTTCCTGTCATTCTGCAACATAGACATCCTCATTCTCTTTTATTGCTGATAGTTGAAGAACCTAAGAGGAGCTAAACAGCTTTCAAGTGAAAAAGTCTTTTGAAAAAAAATGATATTTCTTTTCAGAAACAGTGACCCAACAAGTACTCAGCCAGATTGGTTGAAACATGTTCACCTGGAGGAGTTTTCATCCATCTTAAAGCAGATCTTGCTACAGACGATTCATTGCTTAGCCAACACTCGCTGGGAGTTACGACGCATGGGAGAACAGGTTAGTAATATGATCAATTACATATTTATATTTAAATTGATGAGATGAAGTCTTGTTAACTGCATGAATCAGAACAGGATCCAAAACTTTTATTGGATACTCAGTCATATGTCCGCTGGAAATAGTGCGGTAGTTGTTGTACCAATTTTGCAACTCTTGCTTGTTTCAAACCTGTTTGGTCATTTAATCATGTTTCATCATGTGTTTGTTAGCTACTTCATAAGGCAAAGTTTGAACAAACATTATTGAGGAAAACGATTAAAACAAATCAGATAATGTATTGATGCTTTGAAACCAAGGCTTGGTTAGTTGAAATGTTTTGTTTGTGAAGACTTTTTGACAGGATTTAACTCAGGACTGCAAAACTGCAAAACCTGGAAGGTGAAATCTGCAGTGCTTTCAGAGTTGTTGAAGCCTATGCAAGCCATTACACATATTTGTTCTACACTGGGGATTAAGAAATCATAACAGAAACTATATAGAGAATTATATTTTATTCATTGATTTACTTATTGTAATTAAGTCAGCAACATACAACTTATGGATAATAAAGTAATAAGTTTCTGTGTACATGTGAACTTTTGTTTGGAATGATTTCTTGGATAAAATCTTTTTTTTTTTAAATGACCCCACTCACAAAACAATGGAACAGTCCTGCCGCTTAGACATCCTCATTCTCTTTCATGGCTGATATTTGAAGAACCTAAGAGGAGCTAAACTGCATATGAACTTTTTGTTTGCAGACGTTACCTTTGATTACTGAGTGCATTCGATGGTATGATATGAACATTCTAAGGCATCTGTGGGACTCATGGTTCACACCTCAGGCTACCTTGATAGGCTATGGTATGGGCCTAGCTCTCAAGTACTCCATCCACCATGCTGTTAGGCTTATTTTCTTTCTTGAGCAACCCCCAGCCTCTTGGAAGGTAATCCTAAATTGTATTTGATGATTGATTGATTGATTGATTGATTGATTAATTTGTTGATTGATTGATTTATTTATTTAGTTTATTCAGTGTACAATAAATTTCAAATGATAACACAAGTCTAGAAGAGTCTGTATCTATTTCTATTAACTTGCTAAACAGTAAACTTTTAGAAAATAATACTGTGTTTTAGTATAGGCCTACTATATACTGGTTTCAATCTCACAATTACAATTTTCTTTGTGGTAATTAAGAAGGAATTTGCATTAAGCTTGCCAATCAGAATGTCCATGAAAAAATTCTTCTAAGCTAATAAGATATTTGTTGTGTTGTATATGATAGAACCCCGAGATGTGTCGTTACATTGCATCATCCATCGTTGATGTCACCCAACAGGGTTTGTCCACGTGGAGTGATAGTGCGCTACAGCTACTATCTCGACCAGTCACAGACAAGCTTTCCGTGATTGCCATGGAGATTCTCATTCTTAAGCAAAGCTATTTCCCACATATTCCTGCAAAGGTGAGAATTAATTGTCCTAAAATAGGTGTTACTTATATAAAACAGTAAAAATAAGTATGAACACACATTGGTTTTAGATCCTATCCATTCCACTTTACACATCAATTCAATCCAATAACAATATTCCTATTGCATAAGAAATGTGAATGGTCACACTGGAAGCAACATGCTTTTAGCAATGCCATGAGAAATCAAAACATCAATTAAGACATTAAAAATAATAGAAAGTATACAATAATTAGAAAACATATATAGAATTTGTTTAATTAAGTAGTTAAATAAAACGAACAAAAAATTTAACTATAAAAAATTTGAAAAAAAAATGAAATATTTAAAAAAATTAATAAAATAAATAAAATAAAAAATATTAAATAAATAGGCCTATAGGTAATTTATCCAGATTTTAATTACCAGCAGCAACATATAAAATTCTCCTGAAAGCTTAGTAGACAGCTAATCAATAATTGGCTTTGAGACAGTGCACACCTGCATTACATAAAGTTTTGTCCAGACTATCAAATTTTCTTTGACGAAAAACTGTTTTATGCCCATATATAGTCATGATGTGCCTATATATGGTTATGATGTGCCTATATATGGTCATGATGTGATGTCATGACCATATTAAAGTATGTCACATATTTATTTCAAGTAAAATGTGCTAGTCTGCACAGGGCTGCTGATATTTATTTGATTAATATTAAAACAGTTATTTTTCATATCAAACCTTGAATTTATTGAATTGTCAATATAATAAAATACAAAAAAAAGCTTAAAATGTTATGTCCATCTCAAGCAAACTTCTCTTGAGTTGACCAACTGGTCATGAAAGTACCCTGTTATCGATGTGTGTCAGTATTATTATTGAATCACATGCAAACTAGTGCAGATATACTTGTAAACGGTTTTATCATACTTTTGATTTAGAAGCAGGAGGAAGAGACCAGCATAGTCCAGAGGCTCCAACACATCTTTGTTTGGGCACACCCAGGACACCAAATATCCACAGTCTTAAAAGACGACAGTGTTAAGACATCATTCCAGACAGTTACTGAGGGATTTCTTTGGTAGGTGGTATTGTTTTTTTATTATTTTCAATTCAGTTTGTATTCATTTTATTGTTTATTTTATTTTAATATATCTTTATTCATAATACAGGAATTTATGCCACACCTAACAATACATCTACCTGATGACAGTATTCCTTCTTGGCAACTCCTTTTTACTTTGTTATTGTATACTTGTAATGTCATGTTTTTGCCTGAATAAATAATAATAATAGCTAATAATAATTTTACTACATGTTTATAATATATATATTTGTTCTCTATTTGCAGTTGTTGTATCAAAGATTCCTCACTAGAATCCTACCCACGACAGGTTGAAAAATATCTGTTAACTGAAATATATAGCCTACTGCCCTTATACATGAGGACTTGTAGCTTGTCCTTGGCCAGCCAGATACTACCATTGTTCCTAGGCTTAGCAGGCAACTACAGCGAGGATATGAGCATGTGTAAAGGTCTTTTAGACAGGTGAGCTTAAGCGCTGTTCACACTATGATGTTTATGTGACAAATAGCTGTGATAATACCCATGTATGTGTGTGATATGAAGTCATCATGCCTGTATAGGTCAAATTGCAAAAAATTGTTATAGTGTTGACAGAGCCATAAATTATTCTATGACAAAGCTAAAGTCGGACACTCAGTGTGCCCAACGATCATTGGCTGACAAGATTCAGTAGAGAATGCAACGCGACAACGTGCGTGCAACTGATCGTTTTTAATTATGATCTCACTCACTGTTTAAGAGAGTGAACATTTCATCATCCTTTGTATGGGACATTAACCCAAGCCATCATGTGTTCACACTACCACTGCATAAAAATGACACCTATGTCATGTAATTAAAGATTTTTTTTTTTCTTATCAGCTGTCTATCAGTTGCGATAATCATGGAAGACTGGCTTCACAGGCAGTGTTTGACCAAGGCACCATTAGAGTTAGTCTCCTGGTACCAGATGGCTCTGACTGAAATCACCAACATTGTCAAGTTAAAGGTTAGTAAAGTTTTACAGTTAGTGACAGGTCCAAGTCTAGCAGTTGCTTCACAAATAGGAATTTGTAAACATTGTCAGAGTATGTGCTACAAATTACTAATATTATTCATTCCTGTAACAAATAATTGTATTAATACCTCTTTTTCCTTCACAGACTTTGGAATTGTCATTATTGAGGCAGGTTTTGGAATTGTACATCAAGATTAGCAGTTTTGTAGGCAGTAAAGACAATATAAATCAACTTTTCACAGCTATCACAGCTAGACTAGATTTGGTAAGTTGTCAGGATGTTATGTACACAGAGCTTTGTAAGCCCACTTGTGTTTCCTTTAATTTTTAACATCAACAAATACACTTAAAAGATATTTTACCAGTGGGAACACATGAACAATAACACACAGAAGTTTGACAACTGATTTTGAGTTCTTCTGGTGGTAAGTTGAGAAGTATGCTGGTAACCAATCCTTACTCTCTCCTGAAAAGAGTTTCTTCTAGCATGCACAGGGCAATATTATTGCACACAGGACCAATGGCTTGAACATTTCATCCCAAAAACTGTGCTATACCTTGCATAGAAGCCCTCCAGTTAGAATGAAAGAAAAATGACTGATCAAAGATAATAAATAGCAGAAGATAGAGCAGCTTACGATATATTGGAACATCCGGTTGAAATGCATTGCAGGAGAACAGAGAGCAATTTTACCCTGTCCGCCCGGTGGCGCTATATATCAATAATAAAGGCGCCACTCAGGTTCATTTGTTTCCTGTAGTTCCTCCACTTAAGCTACATTTACACTAGACACGATTACGACACGACAACGACATATCATCGCGTAGTTGGTATTCTTCAACACTGCGCGCATCTGTATTGTGTCGTTGTGGTGTCGTAATCGTGTCTAGGGTATATGGAGCTTAAGTCAAATGGTCAAATTTTTCCAAGCAGGAACCAAAGTATTTAAAGAGACTCCTCAGTGTAGCCTACCACCAGTTTAGTTGACTGAGCCAAACTTTCAGGGAAACAGCAAGACATTTTTTGTTTCAACAATTTTTTCTGTAGGAATATTATAAAATATGTTATATTTATTTATTAAAAAGGTTTTTTTTTTATAAATAATTTGTAGTTAATAACCTTAGGAGGGACATGGTCTGGTGAGGATTTGTCGACATTTGATGACTTTGCATTCATGTCTAATGATATACCTGTGAGTCCAGTAGCAGAGGACCGCAGCTCGGATGAAGATGAGGATGACTCAGGTAAATTGATATCATTTATTAGTTTATCAAATTAAAATTTTGATGTGATAAATCTTTTTGAGCATCTTGCAATTTCGATTTTCCCAATGTTTTTGGTGTTTTTCTTGTTTTTCTCTTGTTGACGTGTTTTGAATGTATTTTTATTAATTTTAGAGTATTGTTACTTGTTTTATCCAATCATTTTATAATTGGTTGCAATAAAGTTGAATTAAAACTGCTTTCAGAAACTAAATCACTTTCTTATCAGTCATAGCCACAAAAGAGATCTTTTCAAAAAAAATTAAGTACATAACAAAGTCAATCTCTTACAATCAGGCTCTGGAGGAGAAGAATGTTTTGATATGTTGTACAAACAATTTTTCTAAGACACAAAAATCAGTTGTACAATAATTATGTCAAACATTTTTCTTTTCCTTCGGAGCCTGGCTTTAATGAACAAAAAACATACTGTAAATTCAACTAGCATTTCTTATCATTTACTAGCTCTTGTAATAGGTGGGGAGAGGAGATCTACTATAGTTTTTCTTAATGACAAAATGCCTTTTGATATTTACACCTATCTGTATGTTGTTATTCCTCTCAGTGGGTGACTTAGTTCCTGAGTCATTGGCCCTAAATTCAAACACCAGTGGAACCCACACACCCCATCTGTCCACCAGTGACCACGAGATGAGAGCATTGACACCTACAGCTGGGGATGAAGATGATTCAGGCTCTGAATGGGACAGTTGGGAGGAGGAGGAAGAGGTGATTATAAGCCTTGGTTAAGTTTCCAAATCTATTTTATTAGATATTAGCCACTTTTGCTGCCTTCGTGTTCAGATGCGGCATCACTAACTGATAGTAGCTTGGAGCCACTTAAACAGAACAACAATGATGTATCTAGAAGTTTTGAAACTACTTGAGCAAAATATTTTTAGCTTCCAACATTTTCAGTGGGAAAGGGGGAAAACTGGGGGTGTTTGTGCCCCCTGCTCACCCCTACATACGCCATTGCATAACATTTTTCAGTAGATTTGGCAAAGTGTATGATAATAATACAGAAATATGCCAATTATGCAATCTGCTTGGCTAACAAATAGGTTTTTATTGGTGATAATGACTGTCATGTTTGTTAGGAAGTTGTGGTGCAAATTGCATATTTTATTTATTGATGATTCATTTATGAAATTATTGATTACCTATTACTTTAGTTATTGTTGATATGACATGTTATATCTTATTTATCAACTCTATTGACACAGAAAATTACAAAAAACTTATTCCTAAATATTTTGAACATTTTCAGGATCAGTCTGTCCTGTGGTCTGTCTTCGCAGAATTCTTGCAGAAATTGAAATCAAATTTTACTGATCCAATGTGTAAGTACCTTTCTAATGGAATATATCTGAAATAGATTCCAAAGTTATGTTTTTCATTTGGTTCTTTTGAAAGCAGATGCACCTCATAACATATGAGCCGTCACTAGCTAAAGCCTGGGTCCCAGATCTTAAGGGGTCCCCAGGATATTCATCAGCATTTTTCCTTTTGCTCCAAATCAGCCAAGCAGGGCTTTTTAAGGAGCAGAACATGTAGAAAAAAAAATCAAAATATGTCATTAAAACTTCAAAATCACTTAAGAGTGTGAGTTTTCCTGATGCCCCACTGTGCACTATACCCGGACACAGCTCTGAGTGTAGTAGGAATGTCAGTTTGTAGTTTTAGAAGTATTTTATTGAATAAAAGGCCTTAAATCAACATGTGGTACTATATTTTGATTACTATCTAACAACTAAGTTTTTGTTTCATAAGAATGCTAGCAAGCTTTAGAGTCTCTTGTATAATGTTCTTTTCTCTTATAATAATAGTAATGTTAGACTTACATAGTGCTTTATGCCAGCATAGCCTCTAAGCACTTCACATTATGTTTGTATATTTCAGCAACTGGAGAACAAAGTGTTTTTCATGATAACCTTTTGATGGCCACTGAAAAGGAAAGGCAATTAATAAACAGCCTTATGGACCAATGGATGAGAAATTGAGTACTGATTGAAAACAGAAGAGTGTACCATAATGCTTGCTACAGCTGTTAAAGAATCCGTCCTTTACAATACAATACACTACAATAATTTATTTCAACGTGATTAACTTTTTGACCAAACTTTGAAAGACTGTAGTTATAGAGAGTGTGAAGTTGTGGTGTAAGTCTCCCTCAACATTTCTAACATTCTTATATTTTTAGCAAATATATTTATATGAATTGTAAGTTGATATCTATGTGTGCTATTTGTACTCACTACTACAAATCCTTTGTTTTTATGTTAATCTCTGTCCAGACTCAAAATTTTCTTTGTCAAAGCTGTTGTATGCCCATATATAGTCATGATGACCTATATATGGTCATGATGTGATGTCATCATGACCATATTTATGCATGTTGCATGATTTTGTCAAATAGAATTTGATAAGGCTGGATAAGGCTTTTAGAAAAAGTGTGTATAATGACTGTTAGGCTAAGGGAAAACATGAGAAATTCACTTCAGTACTTGAAACGACGACTTTGTAAATGAAATATTAATTTATTATTTAAATTGAAAATTCCCTTGCTTGTTAACAAGTGCATAAATATTCTTGCATGTGTATAGATCTATAAAAGGTAATATACTTAAGGATTGTTGTAGTAAAATGTGAATAGAAATCCACAAAAACTGATATTAAAAAAAATTATTTTTATGTGTTTCATTGGGAATCAATAACATATTACAGGTCTCATTCTTATTAAAGACCACCCCCAAATAAGGATGACTTTTTTGTGATCCCCAGTGGCGGATCCACAACTTTTCAAACTGGGGCGCACAACATCTCGGAATAGATAAGTGAGTAGCTTTTATTTCAATACATTGGTAACAATGGTATGCATAAAAATTTTTAATTTAGTGGAAAATCGTGCCCTTACTGGATCCACGCCAAATCCCATATGTTTATATTTGTTATATTTACAGATCAAAGCTACTAAAAACTTTGATAACCCTGATCCCAGAAGTGGTCTTTATTTGATGGGAGATTTGTATCTCCTAAATGATCAATTCAGTTATTAATTTATGTTATGTTGTTTAAATTTCATCACAAGTTATATCCAAAATATTGTTAACAAGTACAGATAAATCTATATTCAAAATTGAACTTTGCTGATTTCATGGTGAAAAGCAATGGTTGTTTCTAAATTACATGTATTGTGAAATACTATTAATTATCTCCATAGTATTGCGACTTAAAGTTTTGTGAACAGTGTTAAGAATGTGACTTACCTCGTAGGTTAGGAATTTCTTGTGATTAATTTCACTCAAATGGCCAGTCATACTGTAACTTTGTGATGGATTGGCCTGTCCAACAGGTGGGGGTGGGTAAGGAGAAAATTCAGGTTGGTGCTGGTGGACTTAAAATAAGTATAACACAGACTTAATCAAAGAAAAATGTTTAAAATAAAATTTAGAAGGTTTCTGTCTAAGCATGAACTTTGAAATTTGTAGATGATTTGTACATGAACATACACACACAGTGGCATATCTAGGGGCACACATGCCCCTTCCCCTGCCAAAAAAAACTCTTTCCCCCCCCCCCCCCACAAAAAAAAAAAAAAGTAGTTAAAAATCACCTCAAATCACCTTATTTTGTGAGCTTACCTAATCACTGAGCTCCCCTTTTAAGTTTATTATGAAATTTAAGAAGTGGAGTTGCTTATGGGTGAGAAAATATTTTTGTAAGCAAGACAGGAATTGAACCCAATACCCTGGGATTGGAAGGCAACTCTACTCCAAATAAAATAACTTCTCCTGGTTGGTTGGTTGGTTGGTAGGACAGGTTTGTAGAATTCTTAGCAGGAACCATGTTATACAGACATGGTAGTTGTTTAAGGTTCACAATTTACAAAATACAGATTCACAAACAGATATAATTAGATTAGCATTTACTTAGACTTCACTAATTAATGTTTAGGATGGTTATTAGGCAAGGCAATGGGCATTCATAAAAGCTTACATGCTATACTTGTATTGCTTACATGACATGACCATGACGTGCGCTTTATATATTAAGACATGATTCAGGGCTATATACACTCAATTTTAAAACGCTTTTATTTTAAATTCTGTCTGCCAGACATTACTGCAACCATATAATATGGTTACAGGCTATGCAAGGAGGTATAAAAATAAGGGCTATGTAACTATGAGGACATAGGCCTTTTTTGTGACTGTGCAATATGTTTGTTCTATATAGTAATTTTAACTGCAACCTAATGTTCTTTAATGTAATTATACAATTAATTTTGATTACATTTTCAAATTGTAACCAAAAGGTAACCAGATTTTCTGTGCATGAAATGTATTCCTGTATTGGAATAGAGTTATGTAATGTATTTATTACATATTTGGCACAAAAACCACAAATGTACTAGTAAACTGTATGTTGCTTGGATAAATATAGTATGTTATTTATTTCTACTTTAATAGAAAGAAAATAGAAATATGTTGCTAGTGATAATTATTATATATAGTCAGTAGCGTAACGCCCGTGCCAGGGACGGCGCTATCGGGATCCGGAGGGGCAAAGGACAACTCGTCGGGGTCTTCTGGACCCCCTTTCGGGGAATTTCTAGCAGGGTAGTCAAATCTTGAGTACCAAAAGTACAATTCAAGCATGCTGTACTAAGCTGTCAAATTTTAGGATCAAAAATTGTTTAGTATGAGCAGTGCTGCCGTATGTAAGTGGTGTTGTATACTATCGCGATCGTATGGATTGCAGTGGTGGCGCCAGCTCTTCCCCGACGGGGGCTGGTACGTCTGACAGAGGGCTAGTACCCCCGATGGGGGGACTGTTCACTTGCATGGTTTTTCCATCAAATTATCCTTTTTTAATAAAGAATTTCATAAATGAATACAAAATTGTATCGTTTTTTTGATAAAAAAATTCCCTGACAAAATTAATTTTTTCCCCGACTGAGCTGGGAGCTAGGCTCCAACATCAAGGAATTCCTCCCCTGGCCACCCCTGGCCTATGCGCTCTTGTGTGGCGGTCAGCAGGGCCCCCAACCCATAGAGGCCCCTAACCACATTGTCCTCGATCTAGCACCCTGACCCATAAGGGCTTTGTTGATACATAACAGTATAATGTGTCTCTGACATTTATTTTTTAAGACAAGCTATTATGAGCTTAATTATCTAAGATTATATTGTTAGCAATATGCGATCAGCTAACGATTTATTACGTTTTAAGAACCTTAAAATATTAACGTAACATATGTATGTGAGCAATTTAGAAAAGGGTTTAATAGAAGTAGTTCATTAAAGTTACATTTAATGGCACACACATCTGGAGAGATACCACTTGAATGTGAACATTGTGGGAAGAAGTTTAATAACAATTCCTACTTTGAAATCCATGTAAGGATACATACTGGAGAGATGCCACACAAATGTGAATTTTGTGGAAAAGGATTTACAAACAGTAGCAATATGAAATGCCACATGAGGATACATACCGGAGAGACCCCTTACGAGAGTGTGGTTATTGCGGAAAAAAGTTTAAATATAACAACAATCTTAGTAAACACGTGAGGATACATACAGGAGAAAAACCATATAAATGTGAACATTGTGGACAAAGATTTAATTACAGTGGATATTTGAAAGGTCATTTGAGGAAATATACAGGAGAAATATCATAATTATGAATGTGAATATTGTGGAAAGAAATTTTAAAAAACAGAAATTGCACATCACATACCGTAAAACCTCGATTTGAAGCCCTGGGCTTGTACTTTTTTTTTTTTTTTGCGAACTTTGGATGGGCTTCTTTTCGAAGCTGCTTTTGCAAAGTAAAGAGAGGGGCTTCTTTTCAAAATAAATGCTGTAAATTTTAGGAATTTGTACTATAAAACAATAAACAAAACCACTTTAACTTACTGTATAAATTAAGCTTGTTTTTAATTTTTTTTTTTTTTTTCACGTGCAGTATATGCACTACTATTTCGAAAAGAAGAATATGCTATCTTGAAAAGAAGCCATTGGGCTTCTTTTCGAGGCTAATTTTTGCAAACTAAAGAGAGGGACTTCAATTTGAGATGGGCTTCTTCTCGAGATTAAGCCCATTGGGCTTCAATTCGAGGTTTTACAGTATGAGGATACATGCAAGCAGATACACTATAATTTTATGAATGTGAACATTGTGGGAAAAAATTAATAATAACAAATACAATACTCATTTGAGGATACATACAAGAAATCATATGGATTCAAACATTGTTGAAACAAATTTAGAGACCGTCGCACAGAAAAATTATACATGTATAAGACAACTTATATGTAGAAATTGATTTTGTTTATACATTAGGCTTACTTGGGAAAGACATAGACATCTGGACATTACATATATGTAAACTTATGGATTATTTGCTTAAAAGGATTGTTAATAGATGCTGATTGACCAGTAATAAACTAGACATGTCTCTCATCATATCTATGTGCATAATTTGCATTTTTTTTTCAGACTACAGGTCATACATAGCACAGAGAAAGTTTTGTTAGAAGTGACGGGTTACATCAGTCATTCTATTGACAACTGGCGTGCTAGTTTTATGGCATTTCTGGACAGAATTTCTTATGGCTGCATCCATCACTCAGTGTAAAAGCTTGTGGATGTTTCTCTTCAAATTGGGAACTTAACCATCCATCAGAATTCTTGTTATAGACCAGGTTACCTCAACATTACCAAATTCGAAAGTACAGTAGGATTGACGATTACATTGAAACCCGAAATTCCCGAATGGAGGAGGATTCTCTCTTGAGGATTATTTTAGTTAATTAAGCTTTTGTGGAATTTACAGTACGATTCATCAAGTTTCAGATATTTTCTATAGTGTGGATCGAGGGTTTTGTGAAGGTGACATTGGTGGTACAGTTGAGAGTACAATGGAAATTTTATATATAAAAATGTGAATCCATATTACAAACGCTATCAATATCATGTTATAGCCCTGTTGGCGTTCCATAGTGCACACCCCGGCCACCTCTCGCACGCGACGACGCAGACACCGTGTCGATGAACAAGACAGGTAAGAAGAATGGTTATCATAATAATGTTAATTACATTGAAATAAATTATAATATTTAGTTAGAAGAGGAGGTACCTTAGGGATCTTAATAGTAGTAGTAGGCTAGGCCTGCCCTACCCGGCCTAGCATCATAGCCTATTATACTATTAGGCCTAGCATACATCAACACCAAAGTACAACAAGGCGTGATTCGGTTTGGCGAGTGTGACCCTGACAGATGTAGGCCTGCTTGGTTTGTTTTACTCTACTGACAGTAGTTATAGGCCTAGCCTAGGCCTATGGTATCAGGCCTACTTGCTAGGTTTTGGTTGGACCAGTCAGTGGACATTGGTGGACTAAGCCTAGGCTAGGCCTTATAATACTACTACATATTGGAGGGAGGTTGGTGTCCCCTCTATTTGCATCAACCCCAATTGTGTCAATTCAGTAATTAATTGTTTATAATTAATTAACTATTAATTATTACGCTGTGTCTAGAGATATGGTACCGTATTCCTACTTCCATTTGCCAAAAAAGGTATTGTAAATGGCATTACGTTACCATCACCCAATGAAGTGCCGAAATGTGTGTCACGTCATCTCTGAAGACCAGCATTGGCATTGCAGATCGCCCACAGTGTGAGCGGTGTGACTCTATAGCGAACAATGTAATGGATAGCATGAATGATTTGTTAGGCAAATACAGAATACTGTCATCGTAAGGGTTCCACTCAGCAATAAACTAACCATGTCATTTATCTAGGCCTATATAACCATATCAAGCAAGGCCTGAATCCTCAGGACCAAACTTTTGACGTAGGCCCAGGCCTTAATTAGTCTCTGGTCTAATCAATTTACATGACAAAATTTGCACTAAAAAACTGAATATACTGTAAACTGTAATAAGAGGATTTGTAGGCCCACTAGCACTTTATGTATCATAATAATGTTTTAAATGGCATGTGCATGTGAAACTACTTTCTACAGTCACAACTTTATTAATATTCCATTGTATATTTCAGAAAACTTTGTGAAAGGGGGCAGTGAACTCTTTTGAGGGAAAAATGGAAAAGAATAAGGAAGAGATGAAATATAATGGTGAAGAAATAAAATATCATTGTGAACATTGTGGGGAAAATGTGGATTTAGTTACTCTGAGAACGCATTTGGGAATTAAGACAGAGGAAATAGAATATGATCAGGTTAAAATATTTATTTTTTGTGAAAAATACCTGAAAATACACCACAAATCTCCAAGAACACACCAGAAACCCAATCAAAACCTCTTGATTATGATTTTATCATGTATTTTAGGATTTATGTGGTATCTCAATTTATTTTCATAACCTATTTTGGGGGGTAAAAAGGTAAATTTTTGATTAAAATCTAGTTTTCATGTATTTTTCACAAAAAATCAATATTTTACCCCATCAATTTATTTATTTAAATAAAAAAATATATGTAGCCATGTTACTTGAATTCCATTCATATACTGTACTGTACTTTCTTTATAAGAAGTTCTTGGACTACTGTATATTTATCTATTCTAATAAACAACAGCCGGAAATGGCACTCGTCAGACTTAAAATATAAAGAATAAATAAAAATTTCTGTGAATGTGATTGCACCTTTCTTCCTAGGTGTTCATGTAAATTTGCATATAATAGCTAACCAGCTGCGTGTTTTCCTTTGTGAAAATGAGTACCGCGGCGTACTCATTTTCACAAAGCATTTGCATCCCTTCTTGGAAAGAGGGAACTTCGAAATAATTGTCTCCATATCGCTAATTAATCACCGTAATTTAGCTTACACTTATGCATGGGGGAGCATTTAAAATGTACAATAATCATTTCACTACCCGACAAACCCCGAACTTTATTCATGCATTTACATAAATAGTTTCATCTTGCTGTGCTCCAACATCACTGGCGCATGGTAATAACCAACTGGCAGACCATTTCCGGTCACACATTACTCTCCATAATGCAGCACCCCCTAGTTCCGTGTCCTCTGGATACTTGACACGATAACCATTTTGCAGCTTCTATCTATATATATTTGTACAGTACAATATATTGAAACCATTGTTGGCTCCGACCCATAGTCAGTAAAATATTTAACAATTAAGAAAATAAAATTAGTTTTGCATTGATGAATGGAAATAGACTGCCCGAAATAGGCAACATAATACAGTACCATAATTTTCCAGTACTGTAAGTTTGCCTAGTATGCAGTGGCGGATCCAGAATTTTTCAAACTGGTAAGGGGGAAGGGGGCACAACAGTCTCATAATAGGTAAGTGAGTAGCACATATGATTGTTTTGCATTGAAAATTTTTTAATTTAGTGGCAAAACGGGGGGGGGGGGGGTGCACATGCCCACCGTGACCCCTTACTGGATCCGCCCCTGGTATGTAACACTGAATTAGTAAGAAACGTTCTTATGTTGCTACGATACTCCATTAGGAGAAGCAGACACATGGTCGGTCACTTAATTAGTTTGATTCTTTGTTGGTACGCCGTCAATTCCAATTAAGGAATATAAACGTGCTACTACCTAGAATAGTCGATCTTTATGGGTATTATCTGATATGGAAGTCTAGCCAAATTGGTAGTAGTGCAGAAAACTTTATCTACACTCTAAAAACTTCAATTAGATATTCGTCAAAATTATGCTGAGAATTATTTACAAAACAAACAGGGTTATACCGGAATGATTGTTTTGCTTGTACAGTATTTGATGTTTACAAGTTTTTGCGGAACAGTAGTATATAAATCCTACCTTTGTGTCATTTAACAGTAAAACAACACAAACCAAGAACACGAGCATAAGTTCCTACAAAACAACATGTATTGAAATTTGTTTTTTTTTTAAATTTATTTAAATACATATTGCACTTTCTGTATTTTTTAAAATTTCCGCATCAAAAATGTTTTATTAAAATGTCTAACAATTAAAAAAATAAAATTAATTCACTCAGTTTTTTATTGATGCTTAACTATGTCACTGCGGAGCGAAGAGAACGGACGTGTTTTACCGTACGCTCTGATATAGGCCTATAAAGTCTCTAAATCCCTAACAAGGCAGGGTAGGACAACTAGGAGTGCCTGATAACAACTCAATGGTTGAGTTTATGAAACCTTTTTTTAAGCTATGTTCAAATCAAGCCCGGATCCGGTCCGTAGCCTGGACAAAGAAGTCGTTCACATTGCACACAGAACACGGTTGTTCGGGTTAAGTACGTATGTGTTCAATTGGGTCGAACAAACCAAGCTTGTTGCTAATTGGTCCAAGAAAAAAAAACGTACGATTTCAAGATGCAAATGGTTCTGAGATACATCGGTCCAGAATACAGACACAGCAATTATGATGTCGTGTACAACAGACACATTTAGGAAATACACTCTCTTCTGCCATCTTTACAATGTATAAACTTGAGCATTCAAAACAATAACAAACTGAGTACCGCATACAGATCACCTGACTGATCGGACGCAAAGTGTGGATTGACCATCTACGTATGCCGAGACCATGGACCTATTGCTGAGACATTGATCTCTACTATAATAGTTGGATTACTCATCGGCTGGTTTTAATGAGACCACCGACGCAATATGAGATACCATGATCTTTTTGGGGTGCCTGATGGGTGGGGTGGGGGAAGGTCGTGTGCCATCCGCCATCCCCCTCACCCGCACTCCCATAGATACACTGTCCAGGGCATCTGTGCAAGTTTAAACTGTTTTAAAACGATATTTTATGGAGTGTTTGTTGACAATACCACAGTACATAACAAAAATATTTTTAATAAAGCCAAGTACAATTTGAGTCTCAATGTACTGTACATAATATGTTTAATTTGAGCACAACTATACACACGTACATTTCATTATAGTAACGCGTCAGTGAATTAAGTAACGTAACGTAACGTGTTTCAACCAAAATCACTTTAAAATGCGGGACCATGATGTGAGACGGTTGGTAACTATGCTGTATATATCACTGTGTTCCATGCACACGTTATAATAGACCTTTCCGAAGTGTCAATAAAACTTAACAACTGACTAATCAGAACAGCGCTAGGAATACGCGAGCGTCTCACAAACACACGTGTTGTCCCACAAACGCACATGTTCTCGTACGGTTTAACAGTCGTCTTGTGGGACTTTAGCAACAATATCCAAGGGGCGGGGCTTAGCGGAAAGGTACATTATGACGGTAAAGCTACGTTCACACCAAGCCCGGATTCCGGTCCGGGGTACGGAGAAAAAATCGTAAAAAAATGGGTTCAGTGGTAAAGAATAGGACCGTTCAAATCAAATTCGTACGATTTCTAATCCGGAATCCGGGCCCGGACGCGATTTTTTTTCCGTACGAAACATTTACATGGAACTCCACTCGGGCCGTCTCGACTGAATCGACCCGAAAATCTTGTATTGCAGAATTCAGGTCAAAAGGTCATCAACAACTTCTATCTGATCTGAGAGAACGTCGCTGTCTATTTTTTAAAAATATATCGATGTTACCA